ATAATATTTTGACTCAATGCCCGATTACTAAATTAAAGGTCACGTGATATATACCATGATCCCTATAGTGATCAATTAAATCGGCAATTTATTAAGATAAGTGTATACTGTATTTGTATATAGTATATATACATAGCAATGTATATAAATACATTGCATTATATATATATGCAGTACAAACTCTAACAGCTAATATAAAAAAAAACTACATAGAGCCTACTCTAACCCTAATCTTATCAAGAAAAATTTACCTTCACTTTATGATAAAAAAAAAGCTATATTGATACAGTGCCTACTCTAACCTTAATCTAAAAAAAAAAAAAAACTCATCAAAAGTCTTACATATGTCTTGTTTAAATAAAACGTATATAATTCCCAGAATACTTAACAAAAATTGGGCTAAACAATTTTTCAACCAATTCAGTTACTTTAAACTATAATAAAAAATTGTATGAATAAATGATTGAAAAAGCTATATCAATACAGTGCCTACTCTAACCTTAATCTAAAAAAAAAAACACATCAAAAGTCTTACATATGCCTTGTCTAAATAAAACATATATAATTTCTGGAATACTTAACAAAAATTGGGCTAAACGATTCTTCAACTGATTCAGTTACTTTAAACTATAATAAAAAATTGTATGAATAAACAATTAAAAAAGCTATATCGATACAGTGCCTACTCTAACCTTAATCTAAAAAAAAAAACACATCAAAAGTCTTACATATACTTGTCTAAATAAAACATAAAATACTTAACAAAATTGGCTAAACGATTCTTCAACCGATTCAGTTACTTTAAACTATAATAAAAAATTGTATGAATAAATGATTGTAAATAGAAAAACCATTAAAAAAACGATACTTATCTAACATAAGTATTGCTTCTTATTTATAATGCTTATTGCTTAAAAAAGGTAAAAAAAAATTAGTAGTAAGCTGTCAAATTACAACTAATAGTTGCTAGTTTGAAAGCTTGTTATTCATACACAATATAATAATATGTAGTTCATAATAAACATGCTATGAATTATACTCAATTTACATATATGCCTCTACTAGTTATTACTAATTCAAATCATCTATCGTAATTTAAAGTGCATTATAAAGCTTATACATTATTGCTGTTTGCATATACGTGCATTATGTTTCATTCCACTACAAATATTGCACATATATTTTCTCTTTTTATTATCTGTATTACTAAGCATATCTACAATCTGATTACAATTCAAATTAACCTTTGAGAAAGGTATTCTCAAATTTGGATCCTGAGGATTAATCACACTTTGATTATGTTCCGATACTTGATGGCTATTAATTTCGGAAGAACTTTTTAATCTTTTAGTTGGTGATCGTCCACGATGCTTTACAACTAAAAGATCTACTATGACCATTTGTTCGGATTGATCAGAACAAATATTTTCATTGTTAAAATTTTCATAGACAGATACTTTCTGATTAATAAAGTAGGTAATCATGCTAATAAGCTCTTCTTCATATCCAAGATCTAAAGTGGTATTAAGAGCCTTCTTCATTTTCTCAAATCCACTAGCATATCTAACCTTTTTGTTGATTATTTGTTGATCTTTTGTATTAAGCATATTGTTGTCTCTAATTTGTTCAATAATGTGGAGGTCTGGGATAATTGTAGTTGAAACGTTTTGCTGAAATGCAGTTGAAATACAAATGCCTGATTGTTGTAAAAACTCAACCTCTTGAAGCTCATTTCGAAACCAACATCTGGCTACTAATACAATATGAAATTTCGCCACTTGAGTATTTATCATTACTTGAAAAAAATGGGCACATACAATGCCACAATTGATGATAGCCATACAAGTGTATAAATGCCCACCATCACTCAACAATACAACATAATGTTTATAAACTATTGATATGCCGCTTAGTTCCCAAATTTCAATTATATCACTTATATCAATATCTTTTATAAGTGCTATGATTGATATTTGGGGTCTATTAAGCTGATCCTCCAGAAAACCATTCTCGTAATCTAATTGAATGTTTGCCTAATAGAAAATAAAGTACAGATTATTATTAGTCAAAATTAAAAATTCGATATTGAATTGTTTAATTTTGACTTGTATAAAACCAATTAAAGCAAATAAATCAAATATTAAACCTGCAATTCTCGAATATCATTGCTTATTCTTAGTTGTGCACAATATAAAAGACATCCTGTAATTTGCTGTTGTTGTACAGCCAGTATGTGAGGTGTCAAATATAATTTTAACACCTCTAACACTTTAGGAAATATAGATTTAACAATCGACGGTGCCTGGTAAATTGGAAGAGAATTTAAGTAACTATGATGCCATGCCTATTTGGCTTTATTATCCAAGAGATTTTGTATGTGTTCATGAAGGTTATGTAAAGAGGAGGTGCTTTTTATACTATCCTTGATTAATTTGTTCATAACCTCAATGCATTGAGTACTTTGGATTCTGGCTATAAATAATTTTAACTGATAACATCGAGCCCATGACTTTTTACACCCTTGTAATGCCCTATTAATATAATCGTGTACTTGAGGATACTTATCTAATAAGCACAACCACCTTCTATTAAAATCTTCTTCAAATGTACTATTTCGTGTATGTAAAAATTTCTTGTAAAACTCTTCAAAGTGCCCACTGAGTTTACTTCTTAAGTTTTTGTGAACATTCTCTTGAATGTGAAAAGTACATAAAAATTGATGTGTTTTAGGTAACTTTAAGGAAATAGCACTGATCAAGGCAGGTTCTGCATCAGAATATAAAACAACTGGTGATATATTATGTGTTGCATCCAAAAGACATTCGAGGATCTATTCATATGACTCAGTTGTTTCATCTTCAGATAGCGATTGAGCTACCAACCGAGTTTTCGTGTTATTATCAATGACTACTAGAAGTGTAAGATACATGTTGAACCAGTTTGTTTGACACGTATTATCGGTTTGAACAACATCTATATAACGAATTAAATATTGTTGTTGCATTGGTAATATCCAAAACAACTCTAACAACCGATTATTATATGGATCTATTTGAACATGAACAATCTAACTGGGGTCTTGATTCTTTAACTACAACAAATATTCAACAAATTGCTGTGCTTCTCCATGATGTTGATTTAATGGTTTTCTAAACTTTTGAACAGCATTGTAAAGATCGTATTTATGAATCGTATGACTAGGGAATTGGGCAGTTAAAAGAGGCAAAATTTGCTTAGATCTCATATTCCCCTTTGTTATATAAAACTCTATTTGTTCTAAGATTTCTGAAGAAAGCCTTCTATACTTTGAAGCAAATAAAGCAATATCTGGTTGTAGTTGATGATTATGTTCCCCAATAATGCTTGTAATAATTATAACACGACAGGGTGAAACCTGAGTTGCAAATTAGTAAAATCTAAGTTTATTATTCATATCATGTAAAACCTGAGATGGATATGTAAAACCTGAGTTTATTAGGGTGAAACCTGCGATCAAAATAAAGAATTTTTAAAACTTTGATTGAATCTATCTCGACGACCACTGCATCAAATTCGATGACAATTTTTTTATTTGAATTATACAGATCTGTACAATTCAAATAAAAAAATTTTCATCAAATTTGATACAGTGGTAATTGAGATATCTTTGATCAAAGTTTGATTAAAAATTTTGGCGCAGCTACTACTATAGACGTTTTAAAAAAATTTCAAAACTTTGATCGATGATATCTCGATGCCACCACATCAAATTTGATGAAAATTTTTTTATTTGAATTCTATAGATCTGTATAATTCAAATAAAAAAATTTTAATTGAATTTTGATGCAGTGGTCATCAAGATATCATCGATCAAAATTTGATTAAAGATTTTGGATATCTACTACTATAGACGTTTTAAAAAAAATTCAAACATTTGATTAATAATATCTCGACGGCCACTGCATCAAAGTCAATGAAAACTTTTTTATTTGAATTATACAGATCTGTAGAATTTAAATAAAAAAATTTTCATCAAATTTGATGCAGTGGTCGTCAAGATATCTTCGATCAAAGTTTTGGAACTTTTTTAAGCGCCTTCTCACATGATAAAATATCTATACCAAAATTTTTGATCAAACTTTGATCGATGATATCTCGCTGACTACTGTATCAAATTCGGTGAAAATTTTTTTATTCAAATTATACAGATCTATAGAATTCAAATAAAAAAATTTTATCAAATTTGATGTGGTGGTCATCAAGATATCATCGATCAAAGTTTTGGAATTTTTTTAAAACATCTAAAGTAGTAGCTGTATCAAAATTTTTAATCAAACTTTGATCAAAGATATCTCAATTACCACTGTATCAAATTCGATGAAAATTTTTTTATTTGAATTGTACAAATCTGTATAATTCAAATAAAAAAATTTTCATTGAATTTGATGTAGTGGTCGTCGAGATAGATTCAATCAAAGTTTTAAAAATTCTTTATTTTGATCGCAGGTTTCACCCTAATAAACTTAGGTTTTACATATCCATCTCAGGTTTTACATGATATGAAACTCAGGTTTTACTAATTTGCAACTCAGGTTTCACCCTGTCATATTATAACTGGTGATAATTTAGGTTGAGATAGATTTATATGCCATAGGCATGAAACCTTTACTGAAATACGATTATGCTGCTAAGAAATGTCAATAACCTTATTGCTAACTGCTTCTCCAGAACATGAACACTCAAATGTACATCATCGAATTTCACTATTTTTATCTGTTTCTACTCGTTTTCAATGTAAAGAAAATTCTACTGCTTTAGCATAATTATTGAAGCATGCTTCAGCTAAGTCTCACGATGTGTATGAATGGTCTACTGAAAGTTGAAAGCCCTGTTCATCACCTGGTTCTGCTTCTACAAGTAAGTCAGTTATATTATTTGCATCAACAATTATTAATTCTGAGCTCATATTAATCGTAGCCTCAAATTTGACCGGAATGCTACTTGTAGACCCTAATGAAATTATGTCTAAAGCTTTAGTAAGAAATACTCAAAAGTGGTCAACTAAACCAGTATTCTAAATAACATTCGTAGAAAGTAGCATTAGACTCACCTTCCATAGTTTTTTTAAGATTGGCCTACAAAAGAAATGCAACAACAAAAAAAAATACTGCAGTAAAGTTAGTAACAAGTGCGACAAAGAAGGATCAGTTGCTAATAATAAGAAGAAACATGGAATAGAAGAAACATGGAATAGAAGAAACACGACAGTGACAGTAACAAGTCAAAGCACGGTACTAATAATATAAAAAGAAACATGGTATAAAAAAAACACAACAGTGACAGTAACAAGAGAAAGCACAGTAACCAAAACCACTAATAATTAAGCACAGTAGCAAAAAAAAGGTAGAATAAAAAAAAAGAATGCTGTAATGACGTGCTCACTATATACCCAGGTTAGTAAAAAGTGTTTGATTTTCATTTTATATGATAATCAAAAATATATATATATATATATATTACACAATAGTACGGTGATCATCACTATAGGTTATTATAATAATATTTCAAATAAAATAATCTAAAATATAAATACTATAAATCAGTATTTATAATAAATAAAGTTTAATTAAAAATAATATTTTACCCATACTACCACTACAATGTATTTGTCAAATTTAACTAATTATTTAAAATTGAACTCTCTAAAAAAATTATTAACCTCTGATCAATAATAACAATATGTCTAACCTATTTTCCCATTAATACAATCTAATTTAATTCTTTAAATACTTCGAATAAACCATTCTACCAATGTACAATAATTTAATAATTTACAATTACCATCAATTAACATTAACAATATTTTATGATACCAGAAAATTTAAAAATACTATCAATATATCATAAAAAAAACATTAAATATATTTAAAGTCAATTAATTAACATATAATCAAATATTATAAATTTTATAAAAATACATATATTCTAAAAATATAAACTCACAATAACATGATCAAATATATTACAATCATACAAATATATATTAAATAATTATATCTACATAATCTTATTAAAGAAAAATACCCATATATAATCATAATTATATGCTATATAATTCTATACTCTAAGTACTTTACTTTAGATAAACAAACTATTGATACATATAATACATAAAAAAAATAACTCAAACTTGATTATTTATATTATATTCACAACTTAATCGTTTCTTACACACTAATTGATGCAATTACATAAAAAACTTCCTCAGCATTCCATTTTTAACCTTGTTTTTTAAAAAAAAAAATTTTTTTTTTTAGAAAAATTTTTTTTTCCAACTTTAATCCTATTTTTTACTTAGTAAAAGGTTCAAGAAAACGAAAATCAGCAAATTATATAAATGTAAAATTTTATGCTAAACAACTTTACTTAGAAGATAAAAGCAGGTTACATAAGTAAAAAAAAAGTTGCATATAGAAAAACTGAAATTTTTACTTTAGTATATAGCTAATTTATTTTTCTATCAAGGTAACCTACTTTTATCTTCTAAGTAAGATTGTTCAGAGCATGGTTTTACATATATTTGTTATTTTAAAATCAGAAAATACTTGATTTTGAAAAAGTTAGATTTTTGTATTATACAAAATTAGCAAAATTTTAATTTAATTTTTAAGCTTAATTTTTTTCTTCTTCTCTTGTTCTATATTCCCCAAAAATTTAATTTAAAGTTAATAAGTTAGATTTAAAAGGATCTTAGCTCAAAGTTACATAGTAAATTCATATATTTTTTTAAAAATTTTACTTATAAACAACAATGAAAGAGACATGTTCTGAGTCTGATATATACAAAAAGATTATATATTCTAAATTTTGCACTTACACTACTTCTCTAAATCATTATTTTAAGCTTTTTTGGCTTTTTTTTGTGCAACAAACTAGATTTTGTTAACATACTGGTAGTTAAGTATTTACAACTTCAACTAGTAAAGTGTAATATGAAAGTTGAGGGATTCAGAGAGATTTAGTGAATATATTGTAAGACAAGTTTATCTAATAATTTAATCATCTTGATAAAAAAGATAATCTATCCAAGCTTCTAAAAAAAGTATTGTAAAACATATAAAAAAACTTTAATTAATTGTATAATAATCTACAAACTTGAGGTACTCAGAACATTCCTATCTTGAGGAATACAGCTAATTTGAAAATTAGTAAGACATGTGATGAATTTTGTGATAATCATTAGCAAATTTTGGTAATAAAAGTATAATTTTTAATAATATAATTTTTAGCTAATACAAAACATACTGTAATAATATATTAGCCAAAAATTATATTAGAAATGATATAGGGAAAGTAAAGGATCTGAAAAGTTTTGACAATAATGAGTAGGTTAAAACAAAAATTGAAGTAAAGCTCTGAGAATTTTTAAAGGTAGTATAGATATTAATCTTAACTAATTAAATGAAATAATTCGGTTTGGTTAACCAATTAAAAAAATTTTTCTTGATTTAAATAACTAATTATACCTATATAATCATATTAATATGTTACAATTTTACTAAAGCTCTTATAGAGACAGCATGAGATAGTTTCTGATAGGATAGATTATAAATCAAAAATTGGATCAAGTAGTATGAATAAAGACTAATAAACTCGGATTGCTCTAAGAATTTTTTAATACTATATAAGCATAATATAATACTCATTTTAAAAATCAAATTCTTTAAAAATAGTTTATGTGGTTTTGAATTAGCATCTATTGGCATTATGAATTAATATATAAACATTGTTTATATAGCTAATCTTCTATAAATGCATCCTTTATAAGTACACTTTACACACACTTTTTTTCTATAAATACACTTCATATACACTTCTTTCTATAAATATACATAATTTGATCTGTTTAATGTAACATACAGAGTAAAAAATTTAATATGTGCATGTAAGGATTGTATATAAAAATTTCTTATTTAATATGAAAAAAGTATTTGATTATATGAGTATGCATATACTTTTTAAACTGAAATTTTTGCACTAGTAACATAATATTATATGTAGATTATATTTTATAAGAGCATATTTTGTAAGAGTATCTTTTTCTAATTAGACCACTCCAATTTAATTTTCTGTTTAACATAACATAACAGTAGCTTATAATAGTGGAGAAAGAGTATTAAAAAAACACAAATATAAAAAATATAATAAGTCTATTCACTGTAAAAAATATAAAAATGCAAAAATTAATTCTACAATTTGATTGGTTAATATTATGTGTTTTTTTATACAAAATTTTAAAAAATAAGGAGGAGGTTATGTTAAACAAAGAATCAAATTGGTCTGGCCTTATATATATTTATAAAGATGTCTAAATCAGAGTAGATCTTATAATATAAATTTATTAAATTAACTTTAAAGATAGATTAATAGGTGATTTTCCAGTCATCTGAACAAAAATTTTTTTTTTTACATATAAATTTTATTATAAGTGCAAATGCACAGCACCTGTATCTAAAACTTTTTTTTATACTAACTAAATTACTTTTTGACTTCTAACAAAAGTTGTAGAGCTCATCAAAATGTATTTAATATTCTTACAATATTAAATATATTTTGATAAGCTCTACAACTTTTGTTAAAAGCCAAAAAGTAATTTACTTAGTATAAAAAAAAGTTTTAGATATAGGTGCTGTGCATTCGCACTTATAATAAAATTTATATATAAAAAAAAATTTTTGTCTAGGTAACTGGAGAATCGCCTATTAAGTTTAAAACAAGTATATATTTAAATAATATAAAAATTATCTATCTTGTAAGTTTGTAAGTAGATTTTAATTCTTTTAAGCTTGTTAGAATCCTCTCATTGAGGGGGTTATTTTGGTAGTTAAATCATCTAAATTGGCTTAGTATATCAAAAGTTATTCATTGAGAAAATTAAATAAATGCAAATTTGCAAAAATCTGTATTTTTGCAAATTTTTGAAGAATTGTTGTAAAAAATCCACAAAATTTTTTAGAATTTAAAGTTTTGTACAGAACTGCATCTAATTTTTGCATTTATAGCATAAATTTTAAAATTTTGAGCAGATTTTTATTTGAGTTATTATTTAATTTTTTTGCAAGTCTGCACAAAACTGCAATAAAAAAAAATTCTTGATGTTTAAATTTGAAAATTTTATAATATATAATATATAATATATAATAAGTAATTATATAATGTTATAATTATAAATAGCATTTTACTCTTTCCAATGATCATCTACACCAAAATTTTGAAAAGAAGAAAACTACTTTTACGGCACAAAAGCATTAGGTAGTATAGCTTTGGGTCATATTAAAAAAGATAGAGTATAGAAAAATATATTAGTGTACCAAGTTTGAAAGAAAATGAACAACAAGAAAGCACTTTAGCTTTAGGTTTCTGCATTTTTGGCGGATAGTTTTTGAAAATTTGGGAAATTGCTTTAGACTCTGTAACGTAAATCACTGCACGTGATGGTAAACAAAGTACATATAAACAAGTAAACAAATAAACAAACAAGTATATCACCATTTGTGGATAGATGCAGAGGATACAAGATAGTATAAGAAAACAACTTAGTCACGTAAACTACATCAGCACACACGTGACAAACAAATATCAAGCACCATCCTCTGAAGTAGAATAGGAGCAAAAAATAGAAATATACAAAAACCTTTTTGAAAAGTCCCCAGAAAAATTTAATGCAGTTAAGGATAAACATAAGAACAAAGTTCTAAGAAAAGACAGAAAAGTAGCTAAAATGGTAAGAACAGAACTACAGCTAATATGCTTCTTTAGAAATATGATTGAGCTATATGACCGGTTAGAGTTCCTTAGAGTTAAAAATGCTGGCAAAAACCAAACAGTAAAGCCTGAAGAGGTACTTAGAATAAAGGAAGTTCTAAATGATCAAGAATGTGGTTGTATAACTATGGAGTCTTAGAGAACTAAACATAAATAAATAAAAGCCGGCACATAAACAAATAGAGACAAGTTTAACCTCCCAAGAAGCAGTAGCAAAAAAAAAGCCAGTAGTAATAGAAGAGTCTCTAAACGAAATCAAAGAACCTCTTATACCCAGGAATGAAGAAACAAATCTTAGTCAAGAGAATGGGCAATTGCTATTGGAAAGAGAAAAAGAAGAAGAGGCAAGATATATGCAGAAAACTATGATAATATGGAAAAAGATGTTTCCACAAGAATGTTTTACATTATAAGATATTCCACTTGATATAAAAGCGATAAGAATACGAAGGTGTCTTCAATTTTATGGCTAAGTACAATTTAAACGGTAAGAACTCCTCAGAAAAAAGAAAGCAGTATCCTTCGTAATAACTTTCAGAAATGAAAGAAAAAAAGCTCTATTGGAAAAAGCTTGGGTGGTACACTTTGAGGAAGAAAAAATGTTAAGAATATCAAAAGGTGATTTTGCAAGAGATACTATCTAAGATAGAGCAAAGTATAAGGCTATAGTCAAGAACATCCCAAAGACAGCACTAGAAACAATGCTACTGAAGCAACTAAAAATAGTTAAAGCACAGGCAGTGTATATATCCTACAATAGCAACAAAAATCAAAGAAGTACAGTATCAGTTTTTTTTAAATCAGAGGAGGATTTGTGTGCAGCCCTGAGTAAAAGGGTATATTACTATAATTCAAAATTGGAATAGGTAAAGAGTAAAGAATCTGAAAAGAAGGATAGTAATATACATAGAAATGACCCAGCACATATAGAAGAAAAACCATTACGAAGGGATAGTAGAGTAAAAGAACCCTTAGACATCTAGAGAAAAAAGAAAGTAGACAACTTTGGTGAAAATAAAGAGAATAAAGATCCAACTAAGCGGCAGTTTAAACAAAAAAACAATCCCAAGGGTAAATAACCAGAGATAATTGTGCAGGTTGATGAAGAAAAGCCTATAGAAATCAAAGATATTTTGACAAAAATACTAGGCAGACTAGAAAAGATTGAAGCTCAACAAGAAATGAAAAACAGATTCAGAAGAAGGAGCCCATTCCCCAGATGCTCCTAAAAGTTGCTACAGGCATAACAAGAGAAAAAGGTAGCGAGACTACTGAGTTCAGAAAAGAAGGTGATAGAGAGAGTAGTAGGGTAGTAACTTTAGAGGTGCATAATATAAAGAGGTTAAAATGAACAAATGCAAGATAGATAGTTTGGTAGATTTGGCAATAGAGAAAAATATAGACATTTTGGGCTTATGTGAGATGAATATACAAGATAGAGAGGGTATTTGGCAGATTAACAAGGAGGACAAGCATTTTGGCTTCTGGGCGTTAGCAGCAAAAGAAAAAAAAAAGGGTTTAGGGGTGGCACTTCTAGTACACAAAGGTATCGAAAAATATTTAGCTAGAGTTTTAAAGTGGTCACCATATTTATTAGAAGCGACATTTATCTTTAAAGAAGAAGTGTGGGTGGTGTTAGTGATTTACATACCACCAAATGATAGTGAAGTTGAAGAAAAAATTTGTCGAAAGGTAATAAAACAAGCAGAACAAAAATACAAGAATAAGGAGACAAAATGTATAGTGATGGAAGACTTCAATATAGAGTTAGGAAAAATAAATTATAATATAGAGAGAAGAGCTACAACTATAAATAGAAAAACTCTTATCTGAGAACTTATAGATAGAGATTTCAAAAGCACCTTCGAGAGAGAAAAAGATAGAGGAAAAATAGCTACAAGAAGAGGAGCAGAAAAAAACACAACAATTAATTATATGTGGGTCTCCAATAATTGGTTTGAAAACTTAAAAAAGTGCAAAGTACAAGAGATAGACCTGGTAACAGAGATTGATTATTACATGATTATGATATAGTTAGAATGAGAAGATTATAGATGCATACAAAAGAAAGCTCAAAGAAAAAAGCCAAAACCAAAAAGATATGTATAGACCTCAAAAGAATCGAACCAGGTGATTGGGAAGACTTTGTGCAAAAAACAGATGCTTTAGTAACAAGCCAAGAATTGAAATGAGTGGAAAGTTTAAGAAAATCAGCTAGTATCTTAAGAGGAAAAGAAAGTCAAGAGGCTTTAGACAGAGAGTAGAATATTATTAAAACTGCGATAAGAAAAGAAGCTAATAAGACTCTCCCAAAAGCAAGACCCATGGCAGAAAAAAATCCTAAAGTAGATAAAAGCCCCTCCCACAAGCTCAAAAAAATCACTAATAAAGTGAATAAGCTTTGCAGAAAAGCCAAAAAGAAAATGGGGCAGGTAATAACAGATAAGTTAGTCAAAGCTTTAGAAAATGTAAACATTGTGATTGAGACAGAGTTAGAGAAAGCTTTAGTCACGTAGAGTCACACATGGTCATGTGACACCTACAAACAACTAGAGCATAGTGCAAAGATCGCAAAAAAGGTGTGAAGCAAAACTAAACTAGCAGAAGAAGAGCATAGTATTAAAAAGAAAATAGAAGAAAGATGTGAGAATATCTCTTCAAACCAAAAAAGTATGCTAAATAGCATATTAGAAAAACCATACCAGAGAATAAAGTTAGATAGGGTATTTGAGGAAACAGAAGATGATATCTCCTTAGTCAATAGCGAAATAGAAGTTATAAGAAAGGTGGAATCTTTCTTTAAGAAGCAATTTAGAAAGAGAAACATAGATATAGAGTTATTAAGTACATTCTGGACAGAGTAATATAGTCCTAAAGAGAATATAGACAAGGAATGGTACAAAGAGGTATTATATAAAATAAC